ATTTCGGCCCCCAGGGGCCCTCGCCGGGCCTCGGGCCCGTCGAGAAACGACTCAAGACAAGATGAAACACTGGCCCTAGTGGGGAATGGGTCGAGACTTCCGGAGTCCGCGCATGGAAAAAATCACGACATCGGGTCTCGGATCCGACGTTGCGAACAAAAAGAAAATGGGAGCAGCAGGTTTGTGCACGTTTTCGGCCTCTGGCCGTCGCCGGGCCTCGGGACCGTCAGAAAGCGACTCAGGACGGAGGACCGGCCCCTGGGAAGTGCTCCAGACTTCTAGGGCACACTCATCGACAAAAATTTGGGCGGCCGGATCTCTGGGCGGGGCATGGCGTTTTCGTGATTTTGTTGTAGTTATCGTGCGTTCTCGTCGTCTCCCAGAGGTTTGCTCGCGTCGGGATGCTTCCCAGCAGCTCAGCCGCCGACATTTCCGACGATCCTTGAGATCCTGGCGTCTCCTTTTTTCGAGCTGGGCGTGCCCGCCCAGTTTCGGGCCCCAGGACCCTCACCGAGCTGCCCGGCTCGAATAATGGCGCAGGAAGATGGGGCCGGGGGCTCTGGCCGTGATTTTCGAAGATGTTCCATTTTTCGCGACGTCGGATCTCAGGGGACGGCATCCATCCCCACCTTTTTCCTGGGGCGGTATACGCCGGCCAGCGGGCCGCGGGTTTCCACATTCTGGGTGGGGATGGCAGCGCATGCCCCAGGACGTCTCCTCCGCAGTCGGCCGTCATCCTCGGCCTTGATCCCCATCGGTCGTTACCCTCGACCTCGACCTCGACCTCGTCGCCCTCTCGATGCCGTCGGCCCGCTTCTGCCTCCCCCTTCCCCCCCAGGGGCCGCCAAGAGAAGCAAGCGTCGGGCAGCGCCTAACTAGGCGGGTCGCCACCACTACGGGGCTTTTGGATCAGAGATCAGAGGTCGAGGAGGTTCAGAGGTCGAGGATCGGAGGCCGAGGAGGTCTTTGGACGTGAGAGGCGGTTTGGGCGGGGCTGTGGAGTGCTCCGGGGGCCCTGTCTCCTCGGGGAGACACGGCGCTCCCTCGAGGGAGCCGCGACCCCTTCGGTTGCGACACCCCGTGGCATCGCATGGAACCCAGACCCCCGACGCCATGACACTTTCATGACGTGAGCTCAAGGGTCGGCGGCGAGCGAGGGGGGGAGATGAGAAGGAGGAGGCCTTCTCCGAAGGCGGCGGGGCTTCTCAGAAACCCTCGAGCCTTCTGAGAGGTTTTCTGTGTCGTCGGGGAAGGTTCAGCGAACTTTTCAGAAGATTGGGGGACTGCCGAGCCTTCTAAGAAGGACTTCTCCTTCTCACTTCCCCCCGGGCTCGCCGCCGACAAGATGTCTGGACCCCTCCCCCAGGGATCAGCTCTTCATCCCGAGTCGTTTCTTGCCGCCCCGAATCCCGGCGTTGGCCCCCGGGGGCAGACAATGACGACAAACAGGCCGCCGTGTTTTTTTCACGACGCGAGGGGGGTCTGGCGAAGCGACGACCTGGGCTGGTCGAAGCACTCTCGGAGCGCCCGCGCGCAAGGCGGAGGCGCTCGCGACGTGCAGAGGAGGCCCGGGCTCCCTGAGATCCGACGTCGCTCAAAAATTGAAGCACCGTCAACAATCAAGTCTCTTCCTGCTCCTCCTCCTCCTCCTCCTCCTCCTCCTCCTCCTCATACTCCTCATACTCCTCCTCCACCTCCTCCTCCTCCTCCCCCTCCTCCTTCTCCTCCATTCCTATTCCTTATAAATGACATCTTCCTGTCGCACCCCGAAGCCAGTTTTTTTTGGCGGGCTGGGCGTTTCGCCTGAGACTTCTTCACCGTTTATGACTCGGAAGTTCAAAGTTTAAAGTTGACAACCGTTTCACAGATGAAGGGCGGGTCGTTTTCAAAATGTGGCTCTCGTCTTAGCGCCGAGCACAATCAACATGTGCAATAGCTTCACGGATTGAGGGCGGGTGGTTTTCAAAATGTGGTTCTCGCCTTAGCGCCGTGTACATTCGTTTTAAACACTCGCAAGAGTTTCACGGATTGAGGGCGGGTGGTTTTCAAAATGTGGCTCTCGCCTTAGCGCCGCGCACACTCGTTTTACACATTCGCAAGAGCTTCACGGATTGAGGGCGGGTGGTTTTCAAAATGTGGTTCTCGCCTTAGCGCCGCGCACATTCGCCTTAAACATATCAAGAGTTTCACATATTGAGGGCGGGTGGTTTTCAAAGTGTGGCTCTCGTTTGAGCGCCTCGCGCATTCGTTTTCAACATTTGCATGAGCTTCACGGATTGAGGGTGGGTCGTTGTCAAAATGTGGTTCTCGCATGAGCGCCGCGCACATAAGGTTTCAACATGTTCACGAGCTTCATGGATTCCACGTACCAGAAATGGTGTTTTGGAAGGATTCAGGATTTGGTGGGTGCATCTCAGTCAACGTTCTATGTTGAATTCCTAGGCATGGCGTTCTGGCATGACTCGGGATCGTCAAGACGCATCAAGTCGATTTGATCCGTGGCGTTGGAATCCCGAGAACCATGTTTTGGCATGCGTCAGGGTCCTCAAACGGGCGTCTTCCAACGAGGCAGTTCCATCAATGGAAATGAACCGTTGTAGGGGCATATCACAACGGAGCTTCGAGGGAGGGTTTACTCCAACATCGTTGATGACTCTTGGGTTTACACTCCTCCTCCTCCTCCTCCTCCTCCTCCTCCTCCTCCTCCCTCTCCTCCTCCCCATCCTCCTCCCCCTCCTCCTCCTGTTGCTCCTCCTCCTCCTCCTCCTCCTTCTCCTCCTCCTTTTCCTCCTCATCCCCCTCTCTTCTCCTCCTGATCCTCCTCCTCTTCCTCCTCCTCCTCCTCCTCCTCCTCCTCCTCCTCCTCCTCCTCCTTCTCCCCTCCTCCTCCTCCTCCTCCTCCTCCTCCTCCTCCGCCTCTCCCTCCTCCCCTCCTCCTCCTCCTCCCCCTCCTCCTCCGCCTTCCCCCTCCCCCTCCTCCTCCCTCCTCCTCCTCCTCCTCCTCCTCCTCCTCCTCCTCCTCCTCCTCCTCCTCCTCCTTTTGACCTGCTGAGCCTAAGGTCTTGGTTCAGCTGCCACCGCGTTTCACCACGAGAGTTCTTTATCGCGCATCTTTGTTACCCGATGTGGTTGTACAGTTATTTTGGCTATTTGTATACTTCTAATGTCCACGCTAGCCGGGTGGACGCCGGCGTGTCGCCACTTCGGGGGTCTACTTCCAATTTTCCTCAGTTTGAGTAGAGGTAAGCGAGGACTTGCCAAAGCGAGGGCATCGCACGACTGCTCTATTGGTTGAAGAAATCAGACTCCCATCAAGCTTAACAACCTCCTCCTCTACATTTACTCAATATGAATACTACTCTCCCTCTTCCCCTGATGGCGGCCTGGGAATATTCGACCCCCCCCGCGTACTGTTTTTTACACACAGGATTCCCGGGAGTTGGGTTTTCGCCTGCGTTTTTTTTTCAAAATGCTGCTTTCGCTGAGGCTCCAGCCTCATTTCTGCTCCCGAATCGTTCCGAATCGTGCTCCCGCTGCAGCGTGGGCCTCATTTTCGGATCGGTGTTTTGCCTCCGTCGTTCAGGATGGCGTTCTCGCCCCAGCGCGGGCCTCTTTCTCGCGCGCCCATCCGCCCGCCACCACCGCGCCGCACCACGCCCCGCCCCGCCGCACGCACACCCACCGCCACTTCCACCCACCAACGCACGCACGCACGCACGCGCACCACCACCGCGCACCGCCACCACCACCGCACTACCCCACCCACCACCACCACGCTACACCGCGTCACACCACATCACACGCGCGCACACACAGACACACACGCACGCACGCACGCACGCACGCACGCACGCACGCACGCACGCACGCACGCACGCACGCACGCACGCACGCACACGCACGCACACACACACACAAACACACACACACATACACACATACACACGCACACACAGACGCACACACACAGACACACACACACACCACCACCGCCACCACCACCACCACCGCCATCACGCACGTACGCAACTGGCCCACCACCAAACCACCAGGACGCCACACCACGTCACACCACAGCACACGCGCACACACGCATACACACATACACACCACCACCACAACAACCACAACCACGCAACACGCACGCACGCACGCGCACCACCACCCACTACGCACACGCGCGCGGAGCCACAGGTCCGCTACGACACGCGTCCGCGGATAGAGAAAATCAGCGCCATGGTAAGGGATGGGGGGAGGGGTAGGATGACAGATGTTGACGCGAGCGCACCTAACTTGTCCTCCTCCTCCTCCTCCTCCTCCTCCTCCTCCTCCTCCCCCTTCTCCTGCTCGTCCTCCTCCTCCTCCTCCTCCTCCTCCTCCTCCTCCCCCTCCTCCTCCCCCTCCTCCTCCTCCTCCTCCTCCTCCTGCTCCCCCTCCTCCTCTAGAGCCTTGGACCTCGCGCCATTCTTCGAGCCGGACCGATCCCTGAGGGTCCGGGAGCCCGAAGCCGGGCGAAGGCGCACGGCTCGAAAAGGATCGAGGCGCCAAGATGGAGCGGTGGACGCCCAGGGAGGCTCCGCGCAGCCGCGGCTGGCAGCACCAGTCGGAAGTCCGGCCAGAGCGCGCCCCCGGACAGGTCGACGATCGTCGATCGTCGTCGTCGTCGTCGTCGTCGTCGTCGTCGTCGTCGTCGTCGTCGTCGTCGATCGTCGTCGTCGTCGTCGTCGTCGTCGTCGTCGATCGTCGTCGTCGTCGTCGTCGTCGTCGTCGTCGTCGTCGTCGTCGTCGTCGTCGTCGTCGTCGTCGTCGTCTCGTCGTCGTTGTCGTCGTCGTCGTCGTCGGCCTCGTCGCAGGAGCCCAGCGCAGCGGGGCCCGCGCTCGCGCGCGAGGCCCGCGCGGACTCGCCCGCGGCCGGGCGAGGGCCCGCCTGGGCGGAGGACCTTGGCGCGCCCGCCAGCGGGCTGCTCCGGGCCTCCAGGGCGGCGAGCGAGGGCGGCAGCGCCGGCGCCGCGCCCTGCGAGGACGGCTCGGAAGGCGCCGGCCAGGCTCGGCCACGCGCACAGGGGGGGAAGGGGGGAAGGGGGGAAGGCTCCGCAGAAGCGCACCCCTGCTTCCCAGAAGGCGCGGGCCGTGTCTGTAGACGTAAGGCGGGCGCCTTCTGAGAAGCAGCGTCCGTCTAAGAAGCCTCCCCCCCTCCCCCGACCCCCTTGTGCGCGCCGCCAGCAGAAAGTCCCAATCAGTGGATGGTTTTCGCTGAGGAAATCGACCGGGAACCCGGGGGCCCGGGAACCCAGAACCCCACCGAAATTCGCATAACCGGGAATTCGGGCACCCGGAACTGCGCGCGGCGGGGCTGGTTATAAGTAGATCGCCCATGGGTTCGCCCAGTTCTAAGTAACGTAAGTAGCTCATATGTAGCTCAAAAGTAGCTCGTCAGTATCAGGAGCTGCTTAGAAGTAGCGTAAGTAGCTCGTAATATTCATAAGTTAGCTATGCCAGTTACAAGCTACTTATAAGCATACCCTATTATTATTATCATACCAATTTAGGCCACTTACGTTTTAGTTATGTAACTGGCGTAACTGCAGTTACGACACTTACGCCAGCTATGGGCCCGCATCTGTAAGTATCACAAACGTAACGCGCGCTGAGCAAAAAGTGTGAGTGTAGGGAAACCCATAACATGAATTATGGTTGCGAAAAGAAAACATATATATACAATCATCCCTAGTTGCGACATATCAAAACCCAGAACTCCGAGCATGAACATCGAAGACCTTAGGAATCCAACCGAAGGCCCTGGGGCCCCAGGCCTGCCGATCTGTGTAATATTGGGCGGGGGCTGTGGTGGCAGGGTGAAAGCAATCGTTGCTGCCGCTGCCAGTGCCCAAGCTTGCGCGAGCGCAGCCGCCCCCTCGTGCCCAAGCTTGCGCGAGCGTAGCCGCCCCCTCGTCTTGCGTTCAGCGCAGCCGCCCCCGCCATGGCGTCCATCGCCGATCGCGCTGAGCCACTGCCCCCCGTTCCTCTCGTTGCGTGACCAGGCGGTGGCCGTGCTGCGGAGAGAGGGTTTGTTGATGCGCGAGAAGATGAATTCCTTTTTTGTTGCCGTACACCCACGGAACAGGCAAGGATATGACATAATCATTGACGCTTCGCGCATCCCCACCAGTGGTACTTCGCAGCTTGCCAATGTACTTGCCCAGTCTGGGCTTCCAATTCGACTTCCGACCGTCGGTTTACTTTACTTGCCTGCGGCCACCCTGGCATTTTCGCAGTAGTCCGGGGGCTTGCGCCCTTGCAACTAATTCCCGTCTGCAGCTTTCCCTGGTTGCCGGTTGCCCTGGCCGCCCGCTGCCTCCGACCCGTTGCGCGCGACCCCAGCAGTTCTGGTGTTAGATCGGGTGTGTGAAGACCTCTCGCTCCCCCAGGAACTTCCCATAATTCTCCCAGAATTCCCCTCCAGAGTCTCCGGCAGCACTGGCGGGGGCCCCTCGGATCTCCGGCAGCGGAAATTTCCGGCGAAATGTCCGACAAAATCTCCAGACAACCCTCCCGAGGTTAGGAATCCCGGCCAAATCTCCGACGAAATCTCCGGGAAGCCCCCTTCGGGTAGAAATCTCCGGCGAAATCCCCGGGACATTCCGCCCGCGCGAGAACGTCCACGAACGCAATCCCATTGTAATCTTCCACACAAGGAATCCAATTTTAATCTTTTACATATGGAATCCTGGTGTAACCCCCCACAAACGGAATCCGATTGTAATCTTCTATAAACGGAGCCCCATTGTAATCGTCCAAGGAGGAATCTTGTTGTAACATCCACAGGGGATCCTATTAAGATCGTCTACACAAGGAATCCTAATGTCAGCCTCCACAAACGGACTCCTGTTGAAATCCGTCACATAAGGAAATCGAATGTAATCCCCCACAACGGGAATCCGATTGTAACCCTTCGCAACAGGAATATCAGCGCACTCCCCCACATAATGAATTTTATTTTCACCCAACATAGAAGAATCCCTTTGTAATCTTCCACGAAGGAAATCCTGTTGAAATCCGCCGCGCAAGGAATCATACTGTAGTCCCCCACAGAAAGAATCCGACTGCCATCGTCCATAAACGGAATCATAGTGTAATCCTCCGCGCAAGGAATCCCATTGAAACCAGACGCAAAAGACGTCCTATTGAAACCCGCCGCTGAAGGAATCCGATTGTAACCTGCCACAAAAAGAAGAGTCATGCACGCCTCCACAACTGGAGTCCTATTGTTGTCCTCCACAAAAGGACCCCGCAGAAAGAATCCGTGTCAAACCCGATGATACGGATTAGGATGTATCTGAATTGTGCAGGACGTGAGAACAGGTGAACATAGGGCATATCAGACCAGGGTCGAATATTTGAAGATTGTTTTTAATGCATTACGATTGTGATTGTCGGGGCCCGCACAATGGTTTCTGCCGATGGTTATATGATTGCCCGGGCCCGCGCAATAGATTTCGCAGCGCCACTTCTACGCGCATTTTAGCGTTGGTAGTTCGTTTATTCTAGGCTCTGCACATATTAGCGCCGCGGTTCGCGGTAGTCTTCGTAATTCGCTTGGCGAAGGACTCAACCATATGCAGTTGTGAATACCGCATATATGAATATCGTTTTCGGTGGCGCTACCTCTGGGTAGGGGAGACGCATGCGAACGCCCCCGCTGGGGCCTTCGGCGGGGCCCCCTTATGGGGCTACGAAGCGCTGCCCAGGGTGGGAGAACCGCATGCGGGCACCCCTGCCAGGGCCTTCGGTGGAGCTCCCTATGGGGCCACGAAGCGCTGCCCTGGGTGGGGGAACCGCGCGCCGGCACCCCTACTGGGGCCTTCGGTGGAGCTCCCTATGGGGCTACGAAGCGCTGGCCTGGGTGGGGGAACCGCATGCGGGCACCCCCGCTGGGGCCTTCGGTGGAGCTCCCTATGAGGCCACGAAGCGCGCGAGAGGCGCGCCGAGAGCAGAGGCAAGGAGGGGGGGGGGGGAGAAGCGGGAGGAGGAAGGAACGCAGGGCGTTGTCTCTTCAAAACAAGGACCCAACACCACAGGATGGTTGGATGAAAAAAAGCTTGCCATCACCGCCCGCCGCCGCTCCCCGCACCGCGGTGCGGGCCAGTGTTTTTGTTGCGGTTTCGGGGGGCAGATCGACGGCGGCCCTGCATGTGCCTCGACTCCCGCCTGGGGGCGCGGCGGCGCTATTGCTGCTAGTGACGTTCATTCATTCGCGCCCTCTGTCCTCCCCTTTCCTTCTTCGCCCCCTCCCCCTTCCCTCTCCCCTCCCGCTGGTCTGGCCGGCCGACGACGGGGGGCCCTTAGTCTTTTAATTGCATCGCCCGCCGTCGGCGGGGTCCAGGGGAAAATGCCCCAGGGGGGGCCCTGCTTGAGCGGCCCTCGGGTTAGTGCCCGGATTTCGCGCGCGCGCGCCCGCCCCTCCACCTGGCGCGGCCAGAAGGGCGGGTTGCCCCCATAATGGTAGGATGGGGGTGGGGTGGGGTGGGGGGGGGGCGCGGGGGGGGGGGGGGCGGGGTGCGCGGGGGGAGGGGGGGGGGGGGTGCGTATGGGGGGGGGCGGGGGGGGGGGGGGGGAAAAGGTCCGCCTCTTCCCCCCACCCTTTAAGGGGCCGCTCCTCCGGGGCCTGGCACGCAGGCCGCTGGCTCCTCCTCCGCCTCATCCCCCTCCATATCCTTTCTTCCTCCGCCCCCCCGCCATTTGCCATTCCCCCCCCCCTCATCGCCCTTCCCCCCTTTTGGCTCTGGCCCGCTCGCCGCGAGGATGTCCGCGGCCAGCAATTGCAGCGGCGAGGGCCCGGGCCTGGACCTAGTCGGGCCCGGCGCCCCAACGCCGAGCCAGGCGAGCGATGGCGACGGATGCCTAGGTCAACCTGGATTCGACGGCGGGCCTTCGCCGAGGCGGGGCCGCCTGCCTTGGCGAGGTTGGCGCGTCCCAGGCAGCATCCATTCAAATTATTATGTTCCCTTTCCTTGATCTGGCTTTCCGGTTGGATTCATGGGCGCCCGTTGGGGCTCCTGACGGGCCCTGGTCCTGGGCACATCTACATGAGCTTCGTTTCTCTCGCGTCTTCGGTTGGCCGCCGACGGCCAATTTGGACCGCCAGCGCCTGGCAACCCCGGAAAACCAGGTTCGGGCTTCTCTCGGGGTTTCTTTGCCCCCCTCGTCGGCGACCCGAGGCCCTCGGCCTCGCGTTCGTCCGTGCTGGCCCACGTTCGCTACCATTCAATGCCGTGGCCCCATCGTCGCCTTTCGATTGCTTCGGCGAGGGGCGCGAAATGTTCACTGGCAGTGGGCCGGGGCCGCCAGTGACAACAAAACGCAATTTGGAGGCCGAGCGCGTTGCAAACGGATGTCGCTCGCAGCCGGCGGAAGCAAGTGGCGGGGGCACCCCGTCGGCGGAAGTCGGCGGCCGCATTTGCGCACGTCCGTTGACGAAGTGAGCCTCGAAATGACCTCGGCATCCACCCTGCAATTGCCCATCCACCCTGCCCGGCTTCGCCCGGCTCAGCGTGGAGCTGTTGCCCAGGGCGCTCCACCGCGGCACCCTTGGCTCTCGCGCCCGCGGCTTCCAGTCCACGCTGGCCTACTGGCCGCGCGCCTGAATTCAGCGCCGCAGTTTCATAATCTTGATTGGGCGCGGGGCAGGCGAGAAGATCTTCTAAAATTGATTCGGGATGGCGGCCAAGGCTCCCGCGCCGCATGCAAGGCCGCCCGCGCTGAATCCCTTGATCTCCCCCCTCAAGAGGCTCATGGGCACGGGCAGGGACATCGCCGCGTCGCTGCGCATCTTTAGCGTCGTCGGCTGGAACAGTCTGCTCGGGAGTTTGGTGCGCAACCGGGCATGCATGCGATTGGTTGCTTTTTTCTAGCGCACCCGGTGCGACGAGACACCCGCGAAGATTGCCGTTCGCGACTCGGCCGAGCAGGAGAGAACGACCGAGGTTCAGAACAAGCAGACCGCCAAGGCCACGCAGTCGGAGGTGCGTTTCGGCACGTTGGTCCAGTTCCACGGACATATTCGGCCCACCTTGTTGCGGGGGCCCATCCCGACCATTCCCGTGGCGATGGGCCACGGCGCGTCGGAGGTCATCAAGGCAGTCATGAAAGACGCCGCGCCTGTGTTAGACGATGCCAAGCATTTCGAGGCGACGCGCCACATTTCATGCTCGGACCGCGCCTCGTCGAACAAGAAGTACGAGAAGGATTTCAGACATGAGAACCCTGGGGCTCGTTGCCTACACTTGGACTGCGGCCTTCACGAGGTCTGCGCTGCCCAGAGCCACCAATCCAACGTCGCGTCGAACCATATTTCCGGAATCGTTAACCTGGGCCTCAGCTTGCAAGTATCTGGGGCATTACACGATCATCCGTTACCGGTTGCCCTTCGTTTTCAAGGGTTTCGCCAACCGCGCGTGGCAGGGAATGAATGTACCCCCCAACTAAAAGGGGCACGATTGAAGACGAAGAGGGCGGGCATCCAGGGTTCGGGATCTGCGCGTTGAATGACGAACGAACAGGTACGAGCGAACAGTCATGAACTGATTGAGCTCTCACTTCTGAAAAATAATTATTGTTATTGTTGACCCCACCCCACCGGTGCATATTGTTTTTCTCAATCAAAGTGTGCCCCTCGACGCTCGCACCCTGTTTTTTTGACAGGGAAAGCCTTCCTGCTCAAACTGGGCCCCTGGCCCCCGGGCTACAGCAACAAAGGCTCCCAGGCCCAGGAGTCGCGCTCACGCTTAGGACCCCCTCACAGATTATCTTCGTGGCCCCCTCGCTTTGTTTTGTGGCCCCGTTGCAGCGCTTCGTGGCCCCCTGACTTTGTTTTGTGACCCCCTCGCTGCCCTTCGTGGCCCCGCTGCAGCCCTTCGTGGCCTCGTTGCAGCCCTTCGTGGACCCCTCGCTTTGTTTCGTGGCCCCGTTGCAGCCCTTCGTGGCCCCCTCGCTGCCCTTCGTGGCCCCGTTGCAGCCCTTCGTGGCCCCGCTGCAGCCCTTCATGCCCCCCACGCTCCCCTTCGTGGCCCCGTTGCAGCCATTCGTGGCCCCCTCGCTGCCCGTTGTGGCCCCATATACGTATGCCCTTCGTGGCCCCCGCTCGTTCGCGCCCTTGGTGGGCCCATATGCATGCCCTTCGTGGCCCCGTTGCTGCCCTCAGTGGCCCCGTCCTTGCCCTCCGAGGCCCAACATTCGTATTTCTTTCGTGGCCCCCGCTCGTTCTCGCCCGTTGTGGCCCCATGTGCATGCCCTTCGTCGCCCCGCTGTCGCCGTTTGTGGCCCCCATCACTGTCCTACGTGGCCCAGTTGCTACCCTCAGTGGCCCCATCGTTGCCTTCTGTGGCCCCGCATTATCGGCCCTTCGTGGCCCCGGCTCGTTCGCGCTCTTCGTGGCCCCATACGCATTCCCTTCGTGTCCCCGCTGTCGGCCTTCGTGGCCTACTTCGTGTCCGTCGTGGCCCTGCTGTCGTTCTTGCTCGCTTTCGTTCGTCGTCGTCGTCGTCGTCGTCGTCGCCGTCGTCGTCGTCGTCGTCGTCGTCGTCGTGGTCGGTCCTCTGTCCGTCCCTCTTGGGGTCGGGTCGACGGTCCGCGGCCGCCCCGCCGATCAGCACTGCAGCTGGCCAGGCCGAGCCGCCCCGCCGCTTGCCGTGGCCCGGCCTGCAGGGAAGAAAGGTATACCCCCCAAAAGGGGTTCGATCGAATACGAAGAGGGCGGGTATCGGGGGGATTGGAAATACGCGTTATTGGACACTCGATCAGATAAGGGCGAACAGTCTTAAACTGAGTGTTGTTGTTGTTGCTGTTGCTGTTGCTGTTGGTATTGTTGTTGTTGTTGTTGTTGTTGTTGTTGTTGTTGTTGTTGTTGTTGTTGTTGTTGTTGTTGTTGTTGTTGTTGGTGTTGTTGTTGTTGTTGTTGTTGTTGTTGTTGTTGTTGTTGTTGTTGTTGTTGTTGTTGTTTGTTCGTTGCTGTTTTGTGTTGGTTTGCCCAGCGCGCCCTTGGAACCCGTAGTAACCCCTGGGCAAAGTAATCCGTAGGACTACAAATCCTTATGCCTGGAAGTTCTTAGGACGAATACTCCCCAGGTCTAGCAATCCCTGGCATCGGTAATCCCTAGGCCTAGTATCCCCCAGGACATGTACTCCCTAGGACAAGTGCTCCTTAGGAGTAATACGCCCAAGGACTAGTGCCCCCTTGCCACTTCGACCAACATCCCCGGGACTAGTACTCCCTAGGGGTAATAATCCCTAGGACTGGTACTCCCTAGGGCTAGCATTCTAGGACAAACCGTCCCTCGGACTAGCACTGCGTATCACTCGTAATCCCTAGGGCTGGTATTCCGTAGCACGAGTATTCCCTAGCACTAGTACTCCCTACGACTAGTACGCCCTAGGTATTCCCTAGGGCTAGCACTCCCCACGGCTAGTATTCCGCAGGACTAGAATTCCTTATGGGTGGTATTCCCTAACACGGCACTGGTGGCAACGAGTCATCTTCCCTGAACCGTCTTGGGCCAAATATGGCCTTTTGAAGAAGGAGAGGGAAGGGCAGAGAGAGGGGAGGGGGAGGGGAAGGGAGAGGGAGAGGGAGGAGGAGGGAGAGAGAGGAGGAGGAGAAGGACGGGCAGGGGGGGGAGGAGCAGTATTCTCCAGGATGCAAGGGTGCACGTGTTCTCTGAGACCTCGTAAAAGTAAGGATGCAACACGCTCCTCTTCTCCTTTTTCTTCTTCTCCTCGGCCTCGCCTAGGATCCCAGGATGCCTCGTCCTGCAAGGCCCGTAGTTATCAGGTTCGCAACCGAGGTACGGCCATATCCTTCTCTACTACTACAACCCAGGCGTGTTAAGTGTGAGCAAGCTGGGAGCCCAAGGTGGGATCCGGGCGCATTGACGGCTGGGAGCCCAAAGTGGGGTCCAACAAGGCAACGAGGAGGAGTCTCTCAGAGGCCTCACAGGGGGTCCACAGGAGCGCGGGTACTTTTCAAAATTGAGCTCCCAGGGCTTCTTCAAACACTAGTACCACTACAGCACTAGTACCACTACAACCACTAAACCACTACACTAACGCTTCTTCAAACACTAGTACCACCACTACAGTTCCAAGAAATCCGCGCGGAGCGCCAACAATTTACGTTGATGCAGTTGCTCCTTCTTCTAATGTCGATCCGGCTCGGAAATTGGCGCTGGAAGATGTGGTCCGAGGCTCTGGCCGCGAGTTTCACGCCGTTTCATTTTTGTTCCGTCACGCTGGGTCTCAGGGGAAAAGGGGGGGGGAGATGAACGCGTATGCTTGGGGATTACCGCGCCCTAGTCAAAACGACAACCCAACCAAGAGAGGTTTTTTTTTGAATCATCGCATTTGTTCCTCATATGTTCCAGTTCCCCGTGCCCCTTTTACGCCCGTCTCCTTCGCCCCCGACATCCCCGTCTTCCTCGCCGCTCCCCCTTTCGCCGGAGGGCATCTTGGCGGAGGAAACGGTCAACGGGCGGCACCGCTGGCACCGCCGGTGGAAGGCCATGTCCTTGGAAACCCGCAACAAGTTAAAAATGCCGCCGGGGGCCCAGCTGCTTCGCGCCGCCGGGCTGCGCGCCCGCGGGGTGCCGAGCACGCCCAGGGTCCGTGATCTTTTAGATATCGCGTGGGGGAGTCGCCCATCGCGGTCTCTCGAAGACCGCAAGGGTTTCTAGTGCAACGTTTCGCAGTCCGTGTGCAGGAAGCTTTGGGGGGCCTTAACAACCCTGATGACGTCTAGCTACGTCTATGATTTTCAGCGGGACAAAGTCTTGAGTGGCACGGAGCATTTGTTGCTCGCTGGCCTCCCGTCGGACATAGCACGTGACCTCTCTGAGCGTAAGAAGAGGGAGCTCGCGGGGGAGGCGATCTTTCTGCCCTCCCTGGCTTCCATTCTCGTCGCTTTCTATATGAACCCTTTCGGATAATGGCTGTCCGCGCGCCCCGACGCCGCGCCGAAGCGGCAGCGCACGGCATGATGGCACAGCGCAGTGCGTGATGACAGCATGAGGACAAACGCACCATCATGATATTATTGCCATGGATTGGAGCTCATGGGGCCTGCGCTGTGGGGTCGCAGGGTTCGATTGTTGCCTCGCCCGTAATCCTGTCGCAGACCTCGTGAGGCTCGAGCAATTTGTCAAGCGATTGTCCGACAGCGAGCGGCGACGCCTCACAGGAAAGCCGCCTATCCGAGCGTTTCGCGCACGCCGCTGGCCCCGCCTACCTTTCTGCTTGCGCTTAGGCTGGCTAGATGTTGCCCAGAGCGACGTCGGCCCCACGCGTCCCTGAAAGAACGCGTGGCGGCCTCCAAAACGGCGCTGGAGCGACGCCGTGGCCTCCCCAGACCGCTGCGAAACGGCCCCATTGATTGCCCGAGGGGCTACAATACCTTCCGTAATAGATTCATTAAACAGATCGAAGGCACGCCGAGGTTGCCCCGAGAGGTTCCCGGAGCGCCCTGCGGGGAGCCCAAGAGTGCACCCAACAGGGTGCAAGGGGGCCCGAGACATTTTCCAGGGGAGGGCTCCCAGCTTTCCCGCGTCTCCAGAGGGGGTGTTTTCTCTTCCGCGGTGGCCAGGTCTGACACGCCTGTGGCCCGCTGGGTCGGCGAAGTCTGCCCTGGCCATGTCGGGGGGAGCCGGCAAGATGAGCGGCGAAGTGGGCGCCGGCAAGGGGGGCGGCCGCGCGGCCGAGCCGCCGGAGGGTGCCAGCGGGGAGCGCGCCGCGATCGTGGCAGTGGGCGCCCTCCAGGGTGACGGGCGCGGCCAACAGCCCTCGGCGGCCCCACATTGATAGGCGAACTGAGCAAGCCTACCCAACTTTATCATCAACCCACCACCCAGCACCGCCCGAAATTCTGCACGCTTCGCATGCCCCCACCGCGCCATCCTGAGGCGAGGCCCGGGCGACTTGCCTCGACCGGAGAGTTGTGGGAACGCGCGGCAGAATAGAGGAAGAGAAGCCGCCGCGCTGAAGTTATGGATCAGCTGCCTGGGCCCGAGCCAGGAGCGACCCACATGCGCTTCCGCCGCGGGCGGGGGGGGGGGGGCGCGGGGGAGAAGGATGGGGGGCATAGCGCAAAGAACTTCTGCGGCGCGGCCTTTCGCTCTGAGAGCCCCTTGGGGGTCTTTTGGGGCCCATGTTGGAGCACTCGATGCCTCGGAGGGTGGATTGGCGAGCCCTCTCGCCACCCTCGTGGAGGACAACCGAGCAAGCGGGCGGGAGTTCAAGGTCGCCCCCCTTGAGCCAGAAAAGCTACATATCATGACGTTGTTGGGGCGCTGTTGGGCAATTCATTCATGGGTGCTTTAGGGGCCCTCCAAGGGCATTAGTTTGTTTCCCAACCATCCTGTGGTGTTGGGTCCTCGTTTTGAAGAGACAGCGCCCCGCGCCCCTCCTCCTTCCTCCTTCCCCCCGCTGCCTCCCCCCCTCCTCCTCCCATCATCATCATCGTCATCGTCATCATCACCATCATCATCACCAGCATCGCCATCATCATCAGCTTCATCACCCTCATCATCATCATCATCATCATCAGAATCACCGTCACCATCATCGTCGTCATCATCGCCATCGCCCACTTCGGCACACCCCTCACGCGCTTCGTGGCCCCATAGAGAGCTCCACTGAAAGCCCCAGAGGGTGTGCCCGCGCGCGTCCCGCACACCCATTTCGGCACACCCCTCGCGCACTTCGTGGCTCCAATGGGGGCCCCACCGAAGGTCCCAGTAGGTGTGCCCGCATGCGCCCCGCACACCCATTTCGGCACACCCCTCGCACGTATCGTGGCCCCGTAGGGAGCTTCACCGAAGGTCCCAGCGGGTGTGCCCGCATGCGCCCCGCACACCCATTTCGGCACACCCCTCGCACGCTTCGTGGCTCCATGGGGGGCTCCACCGAAGGTCCGAGCGGGTGTGCCCGCATGCGTCTCGCACGCCCATGTCGGCACACCCCTCGCACGTTTCGCGGCCCCATACGGAGCCCCACCGAAGGTCCGAGTAGGTGGGCCCGCATGCGTCCCGCACACCCATGTCGGCGCACCCCTCGTGTGTTTCGCGGCCCCATATGGAGCTCCGCCGAAGGCCCCTGTGGGCATGCCCGCGTGCGTCCCGCACGCCCATGTCGGCGCGCCCCTCGCACGCTTCGTGGCCCCATAGAGCTCCACCGAAGGTCCCAGCGGGCGTGCCCGCATGCGCCCCTCGCACGAATTTCGGCACACCCCTCGCACGTTGAGTGGCCCCATAGGGAGCTTCACCGAAGGTCGCAGTGGGTTTGCCCGCATGCGTCCCGCACGCCCATTTCGGCACACCCCTCGCACGTTTCGTGGCCCTATAGGGAGCTCCACCGAATGCCTCAGCGCGCGCGCCCGCATGCGTCCCGCACGCCCATTTCGGCACACCCCTCGCACGCTTCGTGGCCCCGTCGGGAGCTCCACCGAAGGTCCCAGTGGGCGTGCCCGCATGCGCCCCGCACGCCCATGTCGGCGCACCCCTCGCACGCTTCGTGGCCCCTATGGGGAGCTCCACCGAAGGTCCTAGCGGGCGCGCCCGCATGCGTCCCGCACACCCATTTCAGCACACCCCTCGCACGTTTCGTGGCCCCATTGGGGGCTCCACCGAAGGCCCCAGCGGCTGCGTTCGCATGCGTCCCGCACGCACATTTCGGCACACTCCTCACACGTTTCGTGGCTCCATGGGGGGCTCCACCGAAGGTCCGAGTGGGCGTGCCCGCATGCGTCCCGCACATCCATTCTGGCGCATCCTTGCACGCTTCGTGGCCCCATAGGGAGCTCCGCCGAAGGTCCGAGTAGGTGGGCCCGCATGCGTCCCGCACACCCATGTCGGCGCACCCCTCACACGTTTGGTGGCCCCATGGGGAGCTCCACCGAAGGTCCCAGTGGGTGTGCCCGCATGCGCCCCTCGCGCCCATTTCGGCACACCCCTCGCACGTTTCGTGGCCCCGTCGGGAGCTCCACCGAAGGTCCCAGCGGGCGTGCCCGCACGCGTCCCGCACGCCCATGTCGGCGCACCCCTCGCACGCTTCGTGGCCCCATAGGGAGCTTCACCGAAGGTCCCAGCGGGTGTGCCCGCATGCGTCCCGCACACCCATTTCGGCACGCCCTTCGCGCGTTTCGTGGCCCCGTGGGGAGCTCCTCCGAAGGTGCCGGCGGGTGTGCCCGCTTGTGCCCCGCGCACCCATTTCGGCACACCCCTCGCACGTTTCGTGGCCCCATGCGGAGCTCCACCGAAGGTCCGAGTGGGTGTGCCCGCATTCGCCCCGTACACCCATTTCGGCACACCCCTCGCGCGCTTCGTAGCCCCGCAGGGAGCCCCGCAGGGAGCCCCCCGTGGCGCAATCCGCATGCGTCTCCCCCACCCAGTACACCTCCGTCGGAGGCCGTCGGGGTTCCGCGCCTCCCTCGCCCGTCGTCGCTCTGCCCAGCGGCAAGAGGCTTGCCGGCTATCAGCCAGCCATCTAGCTCTCTTTGCTGCGCGCAGCGGACGACCCGCGCGCGTCGCTGGGACCCCTCCAGGGCGACCTGCGCGCGTCGCTGGGACTCCGCGCTGCGCTGCGCCCGCAGCCTTGGACTTTTGAGCGCGCGGGCAAAGAGGGAGTAAAAGCAGGGAAGGAAGCGGGCGCGATCCTCGCGGTGGCGTCGCGGCGCGCGGGCGACGCCGTCGGGGGGCCGCGGGGGGGCCCCTTGAGGCGGCCGCGCCCAGCGTCGCGAGTACTCAGAGGCAGTCGTTCTCAAACTATTGACATTCATACACACTTGCACCATGCTTTGCCATGCTCGCATTCATGCGCGTAGACTCGCTCGCACGCAGATTCATTCACAGTCAGACGCACTCGTGCTCAGATTCACCCGCGCTCAGTCCCCCTACTTACTCAGATCAATCGTTTTCGTTCGCGCTGTGTACCGCGCCACTCATTTCGGCGGGGGCCATGGGTGCGCAAAACGGGTGAGGGGCGTTCCAGGGTAGAGCGCGCGCGGGCGTTCTCATTGCGGCCGCGGGTGGAGTTCCCCGCGGGGCCAGGGAACGCGCGGGGGCACGCCGAAATTGGCGAGGCGGCTCCTGCGGACCGCCCCTTTCGGGCCCTGGCCGGAGCTTCATGGGCGAAGATTGCGCCGAAATCGATTTAGGCGCGCGCGGGCTTCCCCCCCGCGCCGCTGGCGGAGCTCCCTGCAGATCAAGGAGCGTGCGAGAAGCTTGCCGACATCGGCGGGGGGGCGAGCGACGCCTTCCCGACTTGGGCTACGAAGAGCGCGAGGGGCGCGCCGAAAGCGGCGCGCGCGGGGCAGAGGTCGGGCGACGGGGGAGGAGGAGGCGGAGCAGGTGGGGTGGGGGGGGGGGGGGAAGAGGAGGAAGAGGAGGATGAAGATGAGGGGGATATGGAACAAAGGGGGGAGGGGATGAGGTCAGCATCGGCCCGCGTTAGAATCGAGTGCCCGACCGCCGCGAGGGTGCAGGAGAGGGGTGATGGGGCTTC